AGGGCAGTGTCACTGGCCCTCATATGTGGGATCCGAACCGGGGCCCTCTGGCATCCCAAGCCAGTTCTTAACCAACGCGCCACTCAGCTGGCCCGTGCCTTTTCTCTTTAAGTACAATTTTTAGTACTTTACTGATTGTTTTTTGGACAATTTTATATAAACGGTTACATTAAATAGCTTCATAATTTATTGCATCCCATGGTTTTAGCATCTCGATGATGATTTTTTTTTTAAGATTTTTTTATTGGGGAATTGGGGGAGGGGAACAGTCAAGTTGCTGTCTTTTTGTTCTTCAGTCTACTTGTGGAGGACATCGCTTCACTGGCTCATATTGGTATTGTGATCATTTCGCTCTTCCTGGATGAGGCAGTCGGTTGCTGGCCATTGGACGGCTGCCATGGCAGCTCACGCTGGCTGCTGGCCACTCACAGTAGCTCACGGCAGCCCACTGCAGCCCCACTGCAGCCTACGCCGTTGCCGGCGACTCACGGCAGCCCAGCTCCAGGTCAAACTGTTGTTCACCGTCTTAGCTGTAGAGGGCACAGCATCCATCTGGCCCATGTAGGATCCGAACTGGCAGCCCTGCTGCTCAGAGCTCATGCTCCCAAGCCAACTCTTAACCAATGAGCCACTTGGCTGGCCAGATGATGATCTTCTTTATTTTTTATTTTTATTAGTTTCAAGAGTACAAAACAATGTACTCCACTCACACCACTCACAAAATGAACACCTCCCTCCCCCAATCTACTACCCCTCTGACATTGTATAGAGCTGTTACTATTCTATTTACTGTGTTCCCTATGCTGTACTCCAGATCCTGTGACTATATATACATTAAGTTATAGTTGACATTCAGTATTATTTGGCTTCAGCTTCAGGTGTACAGTGCAGTGGTCAGGCATCTACACAGTCTATGAAGTGGTCTCCCTAATAAGACAAGTGCCCATCCGATACCATACCAAATCTTTACAACATTGTTGATTATATTCCCCAAACGGTCTTTCGTATCCCTATGTCAATCTTGTGGTCGATGATGATTTTTTTTATCAAGTATTGCACTGGTGATTTGAAAATGGCTGTGTTTTTAATCTGTTACTCCTTGTACATTTGTTAGCTGGCATTCTTTAACAAGGAGCTTTTACTTCCCTTGTTTGAGTATCAGTGTTGACTAATCGACTTTTTTGTTTATTCCCGTTCTTATCCCATTTCCTATCATTCTTTCTGATGCCTATGTTGTACTTTCAGTGTGTCTCCTGTGTCCTTTTGGCACATTCCTATGGTGTTTGAGCACTACTGGCTTTCTGATACAAGAGGATGTTCCAGGTTTACTTTGTACTTTCTCTGCTTTGGACCTGGAAGCAGCCATTTCTCTAATGGTCATCTATTTCAAGCTTGGAAATGATCAGTCTTCTAAAAGATTTGTTAAACATTCACTTTGTCTTTGAGTTATCTCTTTATTCTCTAAGTTCTTTTGAAGAGTGTTGTTAGGGAACTGTGCATGAGTTTGCTTATTAACTATTCCAGTATTTATTAAATCATTACTTTCTGTGCTGTCATTTAAAACTATCCCTTGGCATTTTCTGTTTCTTTGCATGTTTATTGACTTGCCATTTCTAGATTAGTGCATTGTCATACAAATTGAATTGTTTGCATTTACTTGGTAATATAGGCTGTGGATGCCAAAAGAGGAAAAGCAGGTGGATTTGAAAACTGGTCGAGTACGTCGGAAAGCCATTTTTGGAGATGCAGAAGATGAGTCTGGAGATAGTGATGTTGAAGATGATGAAGAAATGTCTGAAGGTGACAGGCTGAAAAATAGCTCTAGTGATGAGGAAACAGAGGAGGAAGGAGATGCTGAAATTCCTGGTAAGGTGTGTGTGACTGGCAGCAGTGTCAAACGGCAGAGACTTGAGGAGGTGGAAGAAGACACTGAGGTGGATTTCCCAGCGTTTGCTGACAGTGACGATGACCTTGAGAGGAGCTCCGAGGATGGAGGAGAAGCAGAGGAAGTTAATGAAAGCAGTGAAGAAGAGGAATCCAGTGTGGAAGGAGAGAGGGATGTTTTAGAAGCTAAGGCTGTAGAAGGAGGCGGCAAAGCAGGTCTTTTACAAAGTAATGGCTTGAGTGGCAGCTTGAATGTGGAGAAGACAATGAAACAAGCGACTGTCACTATTTCCAATTCAGGTCATTGCACAGCTGAAGAGGTGTTTGTGTCTGAATATGAATCTGAAGAAAGCTCCTCTTTCAATACAGAGGAGGAGGATTCAGAAAATGAAGAGGTTGTTAGGAAAAAGTTTCCAAAGCCTTTTCCAGCAGTCAGTGATCGGAAACTGGGGTCAGAGAACTTAATTGATGAGACCAGTGATGTGGAAGACTTACTCAAAGAAGAAGAAGATTACAAGGAAGAAAATAATTATTCCACAGAAACTTCAGGTATGCTTCAATTCAATTCAACTGCCATTATAAACTCGGCACTGAAAATGTTCCACAAATAGAATGTCTGTCTACATTTGGGGGGTCTGCTGTTTGGGATATTTTGTTAACTGTTCAAATATTATACCTCATAAAAGGATTTCAGGATGAATGAGCAGTGAGCTTGAAGCAGAGACAACAGATAAACTGACTTCACTAATGTCGGCATTGTCCTTTCAGGTGCCCTCAAGTGGAAGGAAGACCTTTCCAGGAAGGCAGCTGAGGCCTTTCTGAGGCAGCAACAAGCAACTCCAAATCTTCAGAAGCTCATCTATGGGACAGGTAAAAGAGCTCTGGTACCCCATCTAGAAGTATTTTAGTTCCTTAGATTATTTTCTGAAAAGGAGATGAGAAAATTGGTTGGAGGATTTGAGTGGTACTTGTGATACTCATAGATATTTCTGGCTGTTACGGTTTCTAGTCATCAGCTCATGAAGACCATAAATCGGTCATATGAGATAAATTTATGGGATTGCCATAAAACTTTTAATGAGAATACTCTCCATTATATTGTTTTGTGTCCCTTATACAAAGTCCTTCATGAGAATTTCTTGGTAGAATTTAGTGCCAGAAAAATATAAAGTGACCTTTATATTGTGGTTCCCAATTACTACATGAGTAGAGCAAAGCCAAAGGAGTATAAGTGAGCTAGGAGCATCGAATCAGGGGTGGTGAGTACTCATTTCTGTTCAGGTTTTGACTAAGTATTCTTAGTGATTAGCGACTCAACATTCTTCCAGAGAAACTCTTATAATTGAAAGCTCAGCCTGTAAATATGTCCCTTCCCTTGCTCAGTTCCCAGTATTCCCCCTCCTCAATGGACTCTTTGCGACTGCCTTGAAGGAGAGCAGAAAGTCCTCCAGACATGTTGAGCAGAAGTTTCCTGGCTTTTCTGTGGCTGATGTGCTCACGGGCAAACCATACGTACCCCAAACAGGGGTCCTCAGTCCCAGGTCCTCTAGGGTATAGATTTAATTTTCACTTTTCCATCATGATGGTGTCTTTAGTGACAGAGGATAATGAAGAAAATGGTGATACCCGGGAAGAGCTTGGAGGGTTGTTTCGTGTCAGCCAGCCTGCCAAAGAGTGTAAGCACAAGGCTGACTTTTTGGACTGCTCCAGGTTTCACGTGGAGACGCCACATGACTGGGATTTAGAGGAGGTAAGGCTGAGTATGAATAGCATGTTTGATTTATGAGAGAATTAGAGAATTGTTCTCAAAGATCATGTGATTTCAATATTGCCTATCTCTTATTAGCTTCTTACTTTAATAAGATAATGATATTTTCCCATATATTGGAGTGGATATTTTATGCATCCTTAGCAACAACATGTTCTGAGTTTAGTCAGACCCTGTGTGTGTGTTGTGGAGGAGAGGAAAATGTTCAACTTATAGTGTGGATAGTAGTGTCAATCTTTAGTTTGAAGCACTGCACGTAAGTTTTATACATTTAAAAAACTGTTTTGTAACTACGATATACCTAGTGTCCCTGAGTTAGCATTTATAATTTCTATTTGTAAACAAATCTACAGCACTGGTAAATTTTCCCTGCTCACCACTCCCCAGTCACACTCGAATTCATTCAGTTCTCAAACTTGCCAGGCTTAATCCCATTTTAGACCTCTTGCCCCTCTGTTTTCTGGATTGTCCTGCCCTTCCCTAGGCTGGCTTCTTTTGATAATTCAGTTTAGCTTAAATGTCACTCAGAGAGATCTAGTCACTATCACATTACCTATTTTAATTCACCGAGTAATACTTATGCACTTCATGAAATTTTATGTAACCATTTTTTATGGTAACATTTAATACGGATTTTGGAAGACCATATAAAACAGTTGTTTAACTTAATGGGTTACCAGGTGAGTACCCTGTACCCAACCACACATCCATCCTAGTTAGTCCGGTCCTTCCCTGCAGAAGGAACCATGACTGTTAGGTTACGGTTATTATTTTCTTCTTCATAATTTCACCCTTCAAGATTGTATCAATAAACATCATCATTTACTTTTACCAGGTTTTTGGGGATTTGTTTTTTGTTGTGCCTTTTGAATCTTTAATTATATAATCCTCTTCTCCACCCATCTTTTTTTCGTCCCTTATATTTAATTTGTTTAAGAAATCAAGTATTTGGTGTATAGAGTTTCTCATATTCTGGATTTCGTGGATTCCATTGCATCCCTTTGTGCAGACTTTGTCCTTAGTATTTCCTATAAATTGGTACAGAGCAATAACAATAGAACGCCATGATGATGGAAATGATACACTTATAACTGTTCAGTGTGGTTGCTTGTGGCTGTTGAGCACTTTAAATATGAGACAGAACTAAATTTTTAATTTAAGTTTTATTTAGTCTTAATTAATTAGAATTTAAATAATGACATGGTTATAACTACCCTGTGGACAGTACATCTAGAAGTTTGGTTCAATTTAGGTTTGATTTTTTTTTTTTTAATTTTCGGCAAGACTGCTTCCCAGGATGTGGTGGTTTTTCATTAGGGGGCACATAGAACCATCTTTTGATGTTAAAAGCTGTTGATCCTCCATGCCTAGATTCATTAACTAATAAGGATGTAAAGTGGTGATATTCTGTTCACATTTCTCTGTAGTACATATCAGCTGGCGTACTTCTGTAAAGAGAAACTTTTCCTCCTCTACTGTTTGGTTACCCAGTCCCATATAAGCAGGATAAATGCTTCTTTTTATCAGTTTCAGAATGATTATCCAAAGCCTACTCTTTTTTTTTAAGTATCATTTTGAACTCACAGATTTAAATATAGTTGAGTGTTTCTTTCCACTGCACTTGTTATCCTTATTGATGTGAGCTCAGATTTTTTCCATCTGCAGCCAGTGGGAGTCTCTTCACGTTGGTCCCTGTGTTCTTTTGACGTGATCCTAGCCATCCTTGATTGCTTTGTTGCTATCTGATAGGATAAGGTGTTCCAGTATCATGTTGTATTTCTGATGCCAGACTTGAAAGCAGCCATAAGAAGTCCTGATTTCTTTTAGTACAAAATAGTATTTCAGCCTCACAATCTAGACAAAGGAATACTCATTGCCATGGGTTGTGACCAGAGTTAGAATTCATACAGATATTTCCAGTTCAGATTCAGAACTGCAGGGTTTTTTATTTAACCTCTTTTATCTTACATTTGTAACTCTGTTTTTCCACTGGACAGTTATCCCCTAATTGAATCTAAAGATGAAGAAATTTGAAAATTTGTTTTATCTGATATATTACACATGAAACATAACATCACACATTACTATTAATATTACTGAAAACAGTTAAAGTTTTTTTCCTCATATGTTTTCCCATTTCTCTTTTCACAACTGGCGACACCATTTTACATTCCTACCAGCAGTGTGTGTAGCTTCTGATTTTTCTGCATCCTCTCCAAGACTTACTATTATCTGTTGTTTTAGTTTATTTTTTTATAGCCATCCTACGGGTGTGAAGTGGTGGTATCTCATTGTGGTTTTGATTTGCCTTTCCCTGATAGCTAATGATTGTCAGGCACCTTTTCATGTGCTTATTGGCCATTTCTATGTATTATTTGAAGATATGTCTATTCATATCATTTTCCCATTTTAAAAATTGGGTTATCTTTTTATTATTGAGTTGTAAGAGTAGTTGATATATTCAAGAAAGAAGTCCCTTATCAGGCATATGATTCACAAATATTTTCTTTCATTCTGTAGCTTGTCTTTTCTGTGCCTTTGAAGCACAACATTTTAAATTTTGATGAAGTCCCAGTCTGTATTTTTTTGTGTGTTTGATATCATATCCAGGAAACCATTGCCAAATCCAACATCATAAGATTTACTCCTATGTTTTTGTCTTAAGAGTTTTATAATTTAGCTCTTTCATTCAAGTCTTTGGTCCATTTTGAGTTAATTTCGTATTTGGTGTGAGATGAATCCAACTCCATTCTTTTGCACATGGAGATCCAGTTGTCCTAGAACTATTTGTTAAAAAGACTATTCTTTCCCCAGTTGCCTTGTCTTGGCACCCTGGGCAGAAAATCACTTGGTCATTGATACATGGGTTTATTTATGGACTCTTAATTGTATTCCATCGATCTCTATGTCTTTTTTTACGCCAGGACAACACTGTTTTGATTACCATTGCTTGGTAGCAAGTTTTGAAATTGGGAAATGTGAATCCTCTGACTTCGTTCTTCTTTTTGAAGATTGTTTTGTCTATTCTGGATCATTTGGATTTTCTGTATTTTAGGAGCAGCTTTTCCATTTCTAAAAAGAAGCCAGCTGGGATTCTGATAGGGATCAGAAGGATTGCATTGTCTGTAGGTCACATAATATTGATATCTTAACAATTTTAAGTCTTCTGATCCATTAACATGGGATCTTTCCATTTATTTATATCTTTAATGTCTTTCAAGAATGTTTTGTAGTTATCAGAGTATAAGCTTTGTACTTCTTTTGTTGAGTTTATTCCTAGCATTTTATTATTTTTGATGCTATTATAAAAGGAACTATTGTCTCAGTTTCATATTTGAATTGTTCATTGCTAGTGTATAGAAATAAAATTTATTGTTGTATATTTATCTAGTATCTTACAACCTTGCTGAACTCATTTATTAGTTCTGATAGTTTTTTGTGTGTTTTTTTAAGTTGAGCCATCCTGCCACCGGTTGGCAGCTCAGCGGCTGCTCAGCTCAGGCCAGGCATCCAACCGCTGTTGCTCAGAGCTCAAACTCTTGAGCGAGCTCTTAACCAACTGAGCCATTCGGCCGGCCCTAGTTCTGATAGTTTTTTAGTGGATTTTTTTAGGATTCACTATATACCAGATCATATCATCTGTGAATACAGATAATTTTCCTTTCTAAATTAGATGCTTTCATTTCAATTTCTTGCCTAATAGCCCTGGCTATAACATCAAGCACAATGTTGAACAGAAGTGAGAGCAAGCATCCTTGTCCTATTCCTGATCTTAAGAGAAAAGCTTTCATTCTTTCACCATTAAATATGATGCCAGCTGCGGGTTTTTTAATGGATGCCTTTTGTCATGTTGAGGAAGTTTCCTTCTATTTCTAGTTTGTTAAGTGCTTTTATCATGGAAGTTTTATTTATTTATGTATTTTATTTGTTTGGCCTTTGGTTCTCCTGAGTTGATTGTTAAGCTTCATGAAATAAGGATCTCCTGGGTATAGTTTGCTTACAGAGCTTCTAGGCATAGAGGAGGTATTTAGGAAGTGTTCAGTGAGTGAGGGCAGGCATAAAGGGGTGAGTAAATGAACAGGTGTGCTTTTGCATCCGTTGTAATCATGCTAGCCCCAAGGCTACACTTTGAGAGTGAGATTGTGTGTGAAAAACATGATTCATAATCAAAATGTGATTCAGGTGAAAGCCAGGACTTGTGTTTGATTTTTGTAAGTGTGCTTTTGAGTCCTTGGCGGTGCATGTCATGTGCTGTCTTAGGTCAGGTTCCCTAGGAAACAAGCTCGAGGTGGAGAGTTGTGTACAAGGTTTGACTCGATTTGGGCAGTGCAGCCAGCATCCGCTGCGCGTGCACAGCAGACGATCTGGCAGATCGAGACAGGGACCCCATCAGTCCTCTTCACACGACTCTGCTCATGCAAGACGTCTTGTCTTTGTCAGAATAGTATCATCGGTGAAAGGAATTAAGTTTCAAACTGCCACGAGAAGTCTGGAGTAGCAAATATTGGGTTGTCGGAAAAGTCATGACGTGTTTTTTCTGTTTTTCATTGCAAAAATGCATCATGACTTTTCTGACAACCCAACAGTAAGATCAGCTTTCTAAAAATGCTGCTGTCTAACTGCGTTGTCTTAATACTAATATGCTTTGAAAATCAGTTGAATTGATAAAGACCCATTTATGTATGAGGTCAGTGAGCTGATAGCACTCTCCCTGTCCACTGTCAATTAAGTGCTGACTTTTCTGTGTAAGGTTATGAACAGCATCAGAGATTGCTTCGTGACTGGGAAGTGGGAAGAGGATAAAGATGCAGCCAAGATCTTAGCAGAAGATGGTAAGTGAAGGGCTGTATTGTTCAGAGAAAACTGCCTTCTCTATACTTTATTTTCTTCCACATCTTTGATAGTCGAAAATAATAGCCAATTGTGAAATGTGTTGGGCTACTCTGATAGGAGTTATGGGTAATATTCTGGTTCTTCTTTCATGGTGATCTTATTATCCCCCCTTGGTTAACTGACTTATTAGATACGGACCTTGAAGAAAAGTGGGAAGTTTTCCATGAATTATATCATGTATTTGTTAAAAATAGATTTTTTGTGTGAAAAATGTACTCAAATAACATATTTTTCTTTAAATGATAAAGGTAGTATGCATTGTAGAACATTTAGAATAAAAAGTTACTGTAATACCATAACCTCTACTTTTGTTAACCTTTTGAGGTATTTCCTTCCTGTCATTTAAAAATTTTATACATATGTATATATAAACTTTTCTAGTTATCATATTTTATGTAAATTGTGTCATTAAATTTTTTAAAGATTTCCTGTTTATGACTTAAGTATTTTATCATATTAAAATTCAATTTATAGTTTTATTGTTTGACATATAAGCAATTTACTTTGTCCATATTATAAATAACTGCACTGGACCTCCTTGAATAACTCTTGGATCACATTTTTTATTTTCATAAGATAAATTCATAAAAGAATTTATGGGCCACAGTTACCAAGAGGTTTTTCAGAAAGTCGTTCTAATTATGTGGCCCTGAGCAGTGCATCTTGGTCCTTATCAATTTGTTGCTTTCATTCAGTATTTAGTGCTGCCCATAAAAAATGTTTTTTTTTTCCATTTCAATATATGAAATGGTTTCTTGTATTTGCAACTGACATTTTTTGATTATATGTGAGAATATTTAAGATGTGTTGGCTATGGCATTTCTTTGGTGAATTCTTTGTGTCCTTTGCCCATTTTTCTGATGGTATGTTAATGTGTTTTTTATTGATTTGTAAAGTTACTCTCTAAAGGACATTTATCCTTCATTTGTTTCATGTGTTTTCCTGCTTTTTATCATTTAATTTAAAGTTTTGTTTGGTATTACATGAACCATACATTTAAAAATATTGTGTAGTTAGATCTATCAATCTTTTTGGTGAGATTTACTTTTATTTTTTCCATAGACATTTTCTTTTGCATCACTGCAAGAACTTGGGCATTTTTATAGGTTTCCATTACTAAAAATCACATATCCCAAAATGACAGCACTTTCAAATCTAGAGTTTATTACAGGAAAAGGATGTAATATAGCAGCATCAGTACAGGCTGCCTACACAGCCCAGGGTCTGCAGAGGCCCTGAAGAAGGCTGTAGCCTTCTTCCCCCATGAGGGCCGTTGGCAGGACTCACTTCCATTGAACACCAGGGAACCAGCAAGCCCAACAGTCCTGCCCAGTGTTCACGTGTTGCTTCTTTCAGAGGCATACTCCTGCTACTGCAGAGGCCTTTCGTCTCACCTCCTTCATCTCATTATCAATAAGCAGTGCTAACAAGCTCCTAGAACAAACGGCCCTCAAACTCCCTGAACCCATGGTTCTACAGTAACGCTGTTGATCAGTCTGATCCGTGTGTTGACCAAGGGTGCTTGTCTTGAGGGAGCTTTAGCCAAAGAGCTCAGGCCAACTCCAGGCCCTTGAATGAACCCTCACAGCAGTTACTGAAGCACTTAAATCTTGTATGACGAGCCCTAGAATCATTTTTAATCTTTGATTTAGTACATTTAACTTGATCCCATCTGGAACTTCAGTAAGAATCAACTTCATTTTATTTGCAGATCATCATTTTTCTATCACTGTTGGTTTGGTAATGTTGGTTTATGATGCATTCTTACCATATGTGTGCACCTATAGATGTGTACATATATCAAGGGTCAGTTATAAGGTCATCTCTGCGCTATTGGGTGATTCGTTTTTTGTGTTTTTTTTTAAGAAATTTTATTGGGGAACAGTGTGTTTTTCCAGGACCCATCAGCTCCAAGTAAAGTAGTTGTTTCAATCTAGTTGGGGAGGGCGTTTTTCCAGGATCCATCAGCTCCAAGTCAAGTAGCTGTTTCAATCTAGTTGTGGAGGGTGCAGCTCAGTGGCCCATGCGGGGATCAAACTGGCAACCTTGGTGTTATGAGCCTGCGCTAACCACCTGAGCTAACCAGCCGCCCCTGGGTGATTCTTATCTTGATTCTCATGCTACTATCATAGTATTTTCTCTGTTAATTCTTTTTTTTTTCTTTTAATTATTTTTTATTATTAAATACACATTTTTTAGAATTAGTTTCAGCTGTACAACACAGTGCAATAGTTATACTTTTTACCCCTTGAAGTGACAACCCCTCTCCCCCAATC